TGTAACACTGCTAGACCACGTGCTCATTGCCGACGTGCTTCCTTGAAGGAGACAAACCGTAGGTATGTGTGAGTGATCACTGTTGTAGGTCTGTGTGAGTGATCACTGTTGTAGGTCTGTGTGAGTGATCACTGTTGTAGGTCTGTGTGAGTGATCACTGTTGTAGGTCTGTGTGAGTGATCACTGTTGTAGGTCTGTGTGAGTGATCACTGTTGTAGGTCTGTGTGAGTGATCACTGTTGTAGGTCTGTGTGAGTGATCACTGTTGTAGGTCTGTGTGAGTGATCACTGTTGTAGGTCTGTGTGAGTGATCACTGTTGTAGGTCTGTGTGAGTGCTCATGCAAGCAAAATAAACATTTTGGTATATTTATTTCATTGTACGGGTTCTGTTCTTTCCCTGTTGTACTTCAGATGAAGCAGGAAGATTTTCGTGTTTGTTTGGAAGATGTTTATTGTGGTATCATATGGCAGTCACACACGACACAGGCCGCCCTCAAGGCCCGGCCTCAGTCTGACTGATCAGACCTCACACAGACCTAGCACGTGCCATGTGCCTCGATAGTCCAAGCAGACGTTGTGCTGTTGAGGCTAGAGAGGTGAGCAGAGTAAGCTTGATTCCCTGTATGGACTTCCACCCCTTGGTGCTCATATGACCTTATGCAGTTGCGAGCGCCGTAACTAAAACCTTACTAAAACTAACAAACTGGGGTCTCCTGCTTGTTCCAGCGAAGTCCCTAACCACTGCACCACAGGTCATCATCATCTCCCTGGTACAGGTCGCCAACAAAATCTCTCCACCTGTCTCTGGGCAATCTTCTCCACCCCCAGCCAGCTGTACCCCACATGCCTGAGGTCTGCCTCCAGATGTCCTCTCACTGACAAGTGGACCGTCCCCTCCATCTTCCTCTCCACCTCCTCCCCGTGGACCGTCCCCTCCATCTTCCTCTCCACCTCCTCCCTGTGGACCGTCCCCTCCATCTTCCTCTCCACCTCCTCCCCGTGGACCGTCCCCTCCATCTTCCTCTCCACCTCCTCCCTGTGGACCGTCCCCTCCATCTTCCTCTCCACCTCCTCCCTGTGGACCGTCCCCTCCACCTCCTCCCTGTGGACCGTCCCCTCCATCTTCCTCTCCACCTCCTCCCTGGTACCGTCCCCTCCATCTTCCTCTCCACCTCCTCCCTGTGGACCGTCCCCTCCATCTTCCTCTCCACCTCCTCCCTGTGGACCGTCCCCTCCACCTTCCTCTCCTCCTCCTCCCCAGGGGGTTCAGCACTAGACTCTGCCCTGCCACAGTATGGGCTGGCTTCCTAAGCGTGTGGCCGATCCCCCATTTTGTCGACCTCCCGACTCTCCCTGTCTCTTTATTTTTGTATGGTTCTCCTCAAGGCTGAGTTCGTGGGTGGTTGGCGGGTGCTCTGGTGTTGTTTGCTTCTTCTATCCTGTCAAACATCTGTCGTCTTTATCCCCCCTCTTCCTTTTTTATATGTTCCTTTCTTGTAACACCTCTAGTCTTTGGCGCTTTTTTATGACCGTATTGTGTTGTAAGTGCCGTAAAACACTTACTAAAACAACTACATCCGTGGGTGGTTGGCGGGGGCTCTGGTGTGGTTTGCTTCTTCTTTCCTATCAAACATCTATCGTCCTTATCTCCCCTTCTTCTTTATTAATGTTTTTTACTCTCTTGTAACACCTCTATTCTTCTGGCGCTCATATGACCTTATGCAGTTGCGAGCGCCGTAAAACCCTCTACTAAAACAAACAAATACATGTACATCCTAAGTTCGCAACAGCCGTTGGAAAAAAAAAATTCAAGGGAAATAATCCTAGTTTAGTACATGTACTCGACCTCACTGTAGATTACCTCGATAATGCATCGCGGCCACTCGCACAGTGCACTGAGTCTCATTGACTTGGCCACTCGCACAGTGCACTGAGTCTCATTGACTCGGCCACTCGCACAGTGCACTGAGTCTCATTGACTCGGCCACTCACACAGTGCACTGAGTCTCATTGACTCGGCCACTCACACAGTGCACTGAGTCTCATTGACTCGGCCACTCACACAGTGCACTGAGTCTCATTGACTTGGCCACTCACACAGTGCACTGAGTCTCATTGACTCGGCCACTCACACAGTGCACTGAGTCTCATTGACTCGGCCACTCACACAGTGCACTGAGTCTCATTGACTTGGCCACTCACACAGTGCACTGAGTCTCATTGACTCGGCCAAGGGGCGCGACGCGGAATGAGCGAGAGACTGAGAGGCAGGACCAACAACCGTGTTCACTTCGCTCGGCCTTAACGATAACGCAATATATA